AATAATGAGAAAAGGGCACACATTTGTCTCATGGGAAAAGAGGTTCATTTGGACAACTCTGAAGACAATATTTTTGATGATGAGATATACCCAACTTATGATGCATTATAAGATAAATGTATGGTGTTAGGTCAATTTGAGAAACTTGCTAAAAAAATATAAAGCTGTTAGAAAGTTGAATTCAAGTTTAAAGAAGGACAATAAATTATTGAGTGATAAAATTAAAAATTGTTCTTTAGAGTTGAATACATCTAAGAATACAAATAAAATGCCTCTTTTGAACGCACATAATGTTTCATGTATAGATACATGAATTCTAATTTATCCAAACAACTAACTAAAAAATCAAGTTAAATTAAAACAATAGTTGCTAGTGTAAATGAGATTCTGTGTGAGTTGTCTTATGAATATAGAATGTTTGAAACTAGGTGCACTACTAAAGTATTTGAAAATGAACAAGTCTAAAAATATTAATTTAGAAAAGGCAGTGAGAAAATTTTCATTGGGTTGTAGCGGCTTAAACATGGTCCTTTCCAATTAACGATTTGCAAAGACTAAAAGTAGACTTGGTTATTCATATTCAGAAAAACATAAAAAGTTTTAACATTCATTTATGAAAAGAAATAACTTAACTCTATTTGCACCCATTTCAGATTTCTCTTTAACTATTTGCTCTTTATATGGTAGAATGGGTCATATCTTAATAAACTGTCGTATGTAATATAGAGTTAAGATAGTTAAGCATATTTGAGCACTTAAAGGTACAATTACTAACCATATTGACCTATGTGGATACTTAGGTCACACTTTTCTGCTTTTCTATAGATGTGCAGGAACGCTAAGGAGCGAGGCAACACCTGATTGGGTTGCTTAAGGCATATTCAGAATACAAGAATCTATTTCTTAGTCCAACCTAGAAGAGGAATGGGTATGTGAATTTTTGAGAATTACAAACATGGTAAAAATGCTTAAGTTAGTCAAATTGGTAATTTCTTTTTTAAACTTCTTTATTGTATTGTTTGTTGAGAACTTAGTGAAAATCTCATATCCATTAGAAGAATATTGGACCAAAGCATGACTATTCATTTCTGAACTTACACATGAAATTTTGATTACTTCAAAAAGGTTCAACTGATTTGAATGTTAATAGACATGCAAATATTTACACTTAGAACCTTCTTGTTATTTATTCTAAAAAAGTGTAAAATGTTTGAGTGCAGAATGAGAAGTTGTTGATATGTTGCAAACAAGGTCTAATTATACAAGCATGGATTTATTGCTCAAGTATCCGGTGCTTGCATAAGTGATATGATCAACAAATCTTCTCATAAGGGTCAGCTTCAAGTATATTCTATAAACCCCACATGTTGTTTATAGATTTTTTTTTCTTTTTCTTGTTTTTTGTTTTGATTTTTATTTCAATATAAAAAGTTCTTTTTCTTTTTTTTTTCTTTCTTACATGAAAACATAATAAAAAATTCTCTTTATTTCTTTTTGGTTTCTTAGAAAATTCATAAAAGCTTCGGCTTTCTATGTGTCTATAGCTTTTTGGGAATGAGTCTTCATATAATATCAGTAAATTGCACATGAGATTGCATTTCCTTGTCAATTCTATTTTTTTTGATATTTATATATGCTATAATGCAGTAATGACTTGTTGATTGACATGCATCTAGTGATTTCACTCCATATTCTTCACATTTAGATGCACGAGATTCATGTTACCAATTACGATGTGAATTTAATAGATGTTGCTTTTATAGTTACATTCATTCTTGTATAGGCACGTAATTGTTTGAACCAAGCTAAGTAGGATTTTTAAACTAGCTAAATAAAAAATTGCTAATGTACAATCGAATTTCATTAATAAATTGCATGTATGAGTGTACTGTTAAAAGATAATCAAATATCCACACTCGTATAAAATTCATGCAAAAAATTAGGTTGTTAAAAGACTATCAAAGACCCTGGATTTATAGTTAGTTGCATGTCTCAAAGGGTAACTATTTTGTACTAAATAAAACATGTTTATAGATAGTATATATCTCCCGCCAATCACTGTCATTCTTCCTTCTAAGTCATATATGGCCGAGATGACAAGTTGAAATTTTGGTCTTTTTATGAAATTTAAGATTTTTCCTTCTTTAGGTTGTTCATATGTATTTGTTTGCATGAATATCATAGTTGGATGTTGATTTGAATCACTTTTTGAACACACTCCACAATGGCAATATGAGTGATATACACAAACAAGAAGCTATACCATGGGTTTCAATGTGTACATTGATTTTGACAATGTCATTCATATTTTCCTCAAAAAGTTTATAGACTTACAATCGAATTTCATTAATAAATTGCATGTATGAGTGTACTGTTAAAAGATAATCAAATATCCACACTCGTATAAAATTCATGCAAAAAATTAGGTTGTTAAAAGACTATCAAAGACCCTGGATTTATAGTTAGTTGCATGTCTCAAAGGGTAACTATTTTGTACTAAATAAAACATGTTTATAGATAGTATATATCTCCCGCCAATCACTGTCATTCTTCCTTCTAAGTCATATATGGCCGAGATGACAAGTTGAAATTTTGGTCTTTTTATGAAATTTAAGATTTTTCCTTCTTTAGGTTGTTCATATGTATTTGTTTGCATGAATATCATAGTTGGATGTTGATTTGAATCACTTTTTGAACACACTCCACAATGGCAATATGAGTGATATACACAAACAAGAAGCTATACCATGGGTTTCATGTGTACATTGATTTTGACAATGTCATTCATATTTTCCTCAAAAAGTTTATAGACTTGCAAATATCTCACTCTTTTGACATTTATGTGATATTATTCGATGGTTTACTTCTTTATATGTTTCACATGAGAGATTATTTTATTCGATTGTTTGTTTTTTATAATAACAAGAGGGGGAGAAATGTGGAAATCTAAAATTTGAGAATTTTGAATTTTGAACATTGAGAGTTTTTGTGGAAATTGGAAATTGATTTTGAAAAACTTTGAACAATTTATTTTTGGGGAAGGAGAGTTTTGAAATAAGAGAAGCCCAGATTGTAGGGGGGAGCTTGGTAAACATATATCTCATGTTTCATGTATGCACACATGTAAGAGTCGGGAGCTTGCATATCATATTTTATATGTCATGAAACTCATAATGTGCTAATTCATTTATCTCAATTATCCATACTTGTGATTTCAATTTCTAGTTTGTTATTATTAAAAGGGAGAGATTGTTAGGGGTCATGTCAGTGCAATGGAGTTAGTTTGATTAATAGAAAACCTTCATATTGGTCTGATACATGTTTTAGATATTGCATATAGAGTATAACAAGTTAGAATCAAGTTTGGAAGTGAATAAAGCACAATAACAAATTAATCACAAATAATCCTAAAAATGTAGTAGAAGCTAAAATTAATCTTGTGCATATGGGAGCATCTGTCTCATTGTCACAAATGCACAGGAACAAAACCTCAATTCGATGATATATATAGCTCGATATATGAATGTTTTAACAAGACAACGTCAAACAACCAATAGTAGGCTAGAAACATACAATGAGGTTGAAATTGCACGAGCCATAACTTTTCACTTGGTTATCAGAATCACCATTATAATAGCCTTTTAGAAAGATCTTGTTGAATATCAATGATTGAAGAGACCATCAATAATGCAAATGTCCAAAGAGGTTCAAATCATCAATGATAACAATTTAACCATCGATAATGTCAACTTGATCATCAATGGTGAAGGTCGATGGTCGATGGTTGATCGACAAATTTTAGAATTTTGATCTATTTTTTCTTTTAATCTGAGTCATTCATTGCTAGGGGTATATAAGCTCTTTCCTCATGTTTTTCATCAAAAGTTCTTCACATAAATCATAAATAAATAGGGGTTTCAATCTAGGAGAAAAGATCTTGCTCGGGCTTCTCAGAAAACATCCTCGACATCATTCTTCATCATCCGATTATCAATCTTTGAGGAGTGTTGCCCTTGGACTTCAAGATCAACAATGTTCTTCATCTAGCTTTGCTTAGATCCTTCAAATAATAGTTTGCATAATCAAAGGAATAGGATCTTTCTGTACGTGCTTAATTGATATTTATCTTATTGTATCAAATTTTTACAATAAGTCGAGGTTAATTGAGAAATTGGTCACAAACTAGGGCTAGAGATACTCGTGCGTGAAGAGTTTAGTTAGACAACTAGTTTGGAAGAAACTAGGATTTCAATCTTATAAGTCTACTGAATCAGGTGTGTGATATAGAGAGCTTTCACATAGTGAGGAAACCCCTTTATGGAATGAAGAGTGGATGTAGTATTGTTTATCTAAACTACTATACAATTCTTGTGTATTCTAGCTGTGATTATTTTTTGTGATTTGCATTATTTACTATTTTGCTTATTTTTATTTTTATTTTGCTATATATTCAATGATATCAAAAAATTAATAGGCAATCTTATTCACCCCTCAAGGCTTGCATCTCATATCCAACAATTAGTATTTAAATTGCTAGAAAAGATCTTTGTCAAACTGGTAAATACATTAAGCATTGTACGTGAAAGTTCTTCCATAAAGGTTCGAAGCTGTTGATTAGATGATAAAGATATGCGGCGAGATCACTAGGCATTTCTATACTCTTATGTTATTTTTTTCAACCATTTTTTTTTTTTGGTAAATGAAGAAATTTTATTCCTCACCAAATGTGAAAAAAAATGTATATACAAACAAGAAACTCATAAAGTGTATGAGTTAACAAACTGAAAAGCAACAAAGCTCAAAGAAAAACCTGAGCTTAACAGGAAGAACAACTATCTTCTAAGTATTTATGCACATCTCAAGGTAAAGAGTTTGAAACTGAGATTATATATCAGTAAACTCCCATCCATGCACCTGACTCCTCACAAGCAAATTTTAACTGTATTTCCTTCCATTCCCTAGCTCTCCAACGTGAGGAATTCAACATCTGTAGAACCAAATTATAGAGTAATGAGCCAAGCTCTAATCTCCTCCAAAGCAGGGCAATTAAGGGAGATAGTCATAATATCCATTTTAATCACCATAACAGTCTGATCTGTGCTCTTAGCCACCTGTTTAAAGGTTCTGTTATTCCTCTCCTTCCATAAGGAGTATATAGTAGAAGATAAAGCTATCATCTTCACCTTTTGCTTAGGACCCTTTCCTCTAAGCTTACAGCTGAACCAATCAATCAGAATATTCCATTCGCAAGTCCTCCATCTAAACTGAAGCCATTCCATTATTTCATTCCACACAACTTGCGAAAATTTGCATTGGAAGAATAAATGATCTCTTGTTTCAGGAGCTGTGTCATTGCACAAACAACATTGAGCACTTTGAATGATGCCTCTCCTCATCAATCTATATCTTGTAAGCAATCTGTCATTGACTGCTAGCCAAGAGATAAAACAGTGCTTTGGCAAACTTGAGTTCTCCCATATTGTATTAGACCATTTCACCTTACTAGAAACTGGGGAAATAGCAGAGTTTTCAACCATTTTTATACACGTATTTATGCTACTTGTTAAGATTTTCACAAATTTTTTTAATTATGCACAAGTATGTATCATGCCACGGATGCATTGTGTGCTTCGGAACACTAGTTTTATTCTGAAAGAAAGCCAATGGCAAATAATACGATTCTATGTACAACTACAACAACACATATCATCCTCTAATTGTTTATTAGCACTCCTGAATTTGACATTTTAATCCATAACCTGATTACCCCAAATATTGAGTGACAATCATTAAAGTATTTGGAAAATGATAAGTATTGCTGTATGCAAGATATAGATAAAGTAGAAAACATAAAAAAAAATGTAGACTCAAGAAACATCAATCAAAAATCTCACATGTCTATCTTATCCCTTTGAGAAAAAAAAATCTCAAAAACTTTAGGATTTTTTAATTCGTCCCTCAAATCTTTCATAATTTCATTTTATTCCCTCAAATCATATGTGTTCATGCAATTTAGTCTCACTACTAGGTTTACTGTTAAATGCATAAATAGAGAGGCAAACAAATTGAAGATGATAAGTACTAGTTTTGTGTCCACTTATTGAATTGATGAGGAGCACTCATATCCATATATGCAAGTTCGAATATGGACACAATTTATATAAGACAAAAGGATGCGAAATGAATATGAGAAAACAGATAAGATTGAAAAATATATGGGTCATGTGATTAGAAATGTTCAAATATAACAAAATTTTCAAAATGGGACGATGCATACGAATATATACGGTTAGATCTTTGAGTCCTCAATTTGATCCATTGATCCAATGATCAAAACCAGCTTTCTAGATCTATATATTGAGTATTCATATGGATATATCCATGTCCATTAACATTTCTAGTGTACTGTATCGGGTTAGTTCTTATCTCAACATGATCAACTACTAAAATAGTCCATAGTGAACATATTGTTGGAAATTTATCAAATAATTAAGATTATAGTATGCAGATAAATCCGAAAAATTAAAAACAATTAAACTGGCCTGAACGGGAGCAGTCGTGTATTCACTGCCCTAGAAGATTGAGAACCCGCCTATCGCCCTGGCGCAGATGGTACCCTCCCCCTAGCGGTAAAAACCCCCGGAAACGGCCGGCCTCTACACTCAGGCGAGAGTGCAGAGCTTCAGCTCAGATAAAGGAAGTTGCCCATAAAATAAAATTAAGATGTAGATGAAAATAATATGTAGGGGAGAGAAGAAAAACAAGAGAAACTTGTTGTATATTTTTTCCTTATCATTTTGAGCTCAACATACGGATATATATAGGGTTGGAAAAGACGTTACAAAACCCGTAATTAATTCTGTAACGTTCGTCATAAATTTTATAACGTTCCCCATAATTATATATCCGTTACACATAGTTTTAATTGCATGTTTTAATTACAATATTTATTATAATTCATGAAGGCAAAATTGCCTTTTGTTAACAAAATATCTAACAGCCCCCCCCCAAAAGGCAATATTAACTGAAGATTCAGAAATTAATAAATAAATCAAGAAATCATAAAACAAATATAGGTTGGGCAACCTTTCGTATCGTGAATTCGGGAGAGGTAGCTTTCGGCTTTGAACCTTTCCTTAGTGAGTTCATCGCCACCTGAGGGACATAATGGACTAGGTCTTGAATTAGGCCCCTTTAATCAGGTATTGATGAAAACACACACAATACACTTCATCTATTGAGCAAAGCGGGTTGAGCGTTAAAGGCCATGCTCACAATAAACCGACTCATGAGAGTTTCTAGGGGTTAGCCCAGCCCCCCCTAACCGCGGCCATCACGGTTCCTCTCACGTAGGTAAGTCCTCAAAGGGTACTACAGCTGTTTATTTAATACCCCCCACAATACACGCGTTGGACTTATTAAGAGTAAAACTCAGCCTAGCCAGCTGTATCATAAGAGCATCGTCATCATAGAGAAGGGGTAGTAGCAAATGCTACATAATGATATATAAATATATCTAGGTCGATGCTCCACACGAGAGTCACTTGTCCAGCTTGTTTCTACCACATTGAACCGACATTGGGACTACGTCTCCAAATAAGGGTTGGGTTGCCGCTGTCAGTGACCTCATCTATGGGCTTAACCCCATCTCCCTCGATGAATCCAGAACCACACTCCTGGATAATCCCTTAGTCAAAGGGTCATCAAGATTCTTTTCACAGACTTTACAAAGTCTAGAATCATAACTTTGCCTAGCAGGCGTTGTATTTATTTATCAAGTTCTTATTTTGTAATTAGTCCATCATATTGTTTGAAATTGACATTAGGTCATGATCTATGATCATAAAAGATCATAGTCTATGTCTGAAGAGATTGACCTTAATATCTGAACATTTCAAACTAATGTGGAACTAAAAATTCTGCAGTTATGCATATGCACATACATGAATGAAATTAATAATAGATACATGCAGAGCATAATAGGATTTCGTATCTTAAAATATATTTTCGTATCTTAAAATACATTTCATACTTCATAATTCAAATGCATAAGGTCGGTCCTCTTATTCCAAAAACTCCTAAAGTGAAAAGATTAAAGTTTTACCCGGGTAGTTAGCCAGGTAAGGATAGTAATAGAGGTTGATCAAAGATCAATTAAGTACATCGTTCCTTGCAGAGCGTATTATGCAACTCTTAAACCTTGCCTTAGACACCAACTAATCCAAGAAAACTTGAATCGGTTCACTCAATGAGTTTTTGTTCCTTAACAGTATATAGAAACTTTAAATTATTTCCTGTAATCATTTAAAATGCCTAGCAATTATACTGCAAACATATGTTGGATAAGGCCGAGGAGGGGTTTACCTATTGATGTTCGAACCTCGTGATTTTCATGTCTTGAGAGTAAAAACTCATCTGCTGCAGACAACTGTCACTTAAGTTGCTGAACAAATCTGCATTCACTTTTATCACCTTCTGTACTAAGCTTATTAGATGCATAAACACTCCAAAGTATGGAATTATTAATAGAAGGCACCATATTGATAGATTAAAGAAATGAAGGCATTAAACCATGAAAAAATTTAAATACTTCAAAGTGTATATATATATCTAGATTTTGTTCACTTTATTCTTGTCAAAATCAGCATATGAATTTTTTTAAGAATAAAAATATACACTGCTGCAAATTTATAGCATGTTTCAAATGCGTGCATATTCACTAGCTGCAAATTTATAGCATGTTTCAAATGCGTGCATATTCACTAGCACAAGGGGATAATGGTAGGTTTTAGAAACCAAATTTTCATTGCATATTCACTAGCACAAGGGGATAATGGTAGGTTTTAGAAACCAAATTTTCATAGAACAGTAATTGTAGTTTTATGAATAAAAATAATAATAATTCTCTGATGAACAGTGCTATATGTAAGCATTAAGCAGATTTTTTTTAATAAAATGAACATTAAAACTGTTTTTAAATTAACAATAACGTTTTTTTAATAAATAAATAAATAGTAACATCATTTTAAAAAATGAACAGTAACGTTCATTAAAATGAATGAACAGTAACACCATTTTTTAAAGATGAACAATAACGTTCGTTAAAATAAATGAACAGTAACACCAATTTTTTAAAATGAACAGTGAAGTTTTTTAAACATTAAAAACTATTTTAAATGAACAGTAATGTTTTTAAATAAAATTAAAAAAATGTTTTTTAATGAACAGTAAAATATTTTTTTTGAATGAACAGTAACCGTTATATTTTTTTTCCGAATTTTATAACATCAAATCAATAATACTAATAGATAAACAAATATATAATTAAAGCAATTACATTTTCTTTGTGTTAACAACAACTATAAAATTCCTCTGTTTTTTTTTGTAAACAGTAACAAAACTTTTTTTTAACAAAAAGTTAATTAATAGATAATCAATTTAGTAGCAATTTTCTTTCTGTTTTTTTTAATTCGGATGAACAGTAACCATCTCGAATGAACAATAACTTTAAAATAATTTCAGATTTAAATCAAAGCTATAAACTATTCAATCTTCTAGATTGTTGGAAATTTATCAAATAATTAAGATTATAGTATGCAGATAAATCCGAAAAATTAAAAACAATTAAAACTGGCCTGAACGGGAGCAGTCGTGTATTCACTGCCCTAGAAGATTAAGAACCCGCCTATCGTCCTGGCGCAGATGGTACCCTCTCCCTAGCGGTAAAAACCCCCGAAAACGGCCGGCCTCTATACTCAGGCGAGAGTGCAGAGCTTCAGCTCAGATAAAGGAAGTTGCCCATAAAATAAAATTAAGATGTAGATGAAAATAATATGTAGGGGAGAGAAGAAAAACAAGAGAAACTTGTTGTATATTTTTTCCTTATCATTTTGAGCTCAACATACGGATATATATAGGGTTGGAAAAGACGTTACAAAACCCGTAATTAATTCTGTAACGTTCGTCATAAATTTTGTAACGTTCCCCATAATTATATATCCGTTACACATAGTTTTAATTGCATGTTTTAATTACAATATTTATTATAATTCATGAAGGCAAAATTGCCTTTTGTTAACAAAATATCTAACACATTTCCCCCCAAAAATTCTGAACATTCCTCCCTTCTTATCTTACATAGTTTGAGAAATATGTTAAGGGAGTTAGTTAAATAGAACTCAAAACTAGAACTAGGATAATTTATAGGATAAAATTATAGGATAAAATTTTATAGTGTTAGTCAACTAGAACTAGAAATTGAACAAGATTTTACAGTGCTAGTCAATTAGTACTCTGATAAAACTAGAACCAGGATAATTGTACAAATTTATCCCTTTTTTTTTATTTTTCTATATAAAAATGGGAGTTCTAGTCTCTCAAGTTATCCCAAGTTATAGCTTGGAACATGGTGACAAAAAACTAAAACTCTCCTATTTATTTTATTATTTTCATTTTTTATATTTCTTTTTTTCTTTACCTCTTTCCTAAAATGTTCATCACTATTGTTAGACCATGCCGTCAGATCGGATCTCGTCTC